TTTTTATCTTCTCAACAGAACCTCCATGTGTCAAACCTGCCGATACGATTAGGTTGTTTTTTCAATTAACACCGCAACCACTCGAAAATTTGAGCTGCTCTACAACTGACAAGTCTTCAGGTCCCGAGCGGACATCCTCATCGTCACCGCGGTCGACCACCACTCTACTTTCCACCGTCGATTTCGTATCCATAGTCGAATCGCATTCCATCCGTGCAACCAAATCCCCCTGTATAGATTTCTTCTTCCGCTCTGGCACGAACTGGAACTGCCCAGTCCGGTTATCCAAATGGGTAAGTTGTGCTACTCCTCCGGTTTGGTACAACTGATATCGTGGAATCCCTTTGTTCCCCTTGTCTCGGTGGTTTGAAGATCAACCCAGACACAGCATTATGTCTATCTAACGATCCAGCCCTCCGCAGCAACTCTTTTCGATACGATCAGGTGGATGAATCGGGCTATCTCAGCATGAGACTATTCTTTCTTCCACATTTTGACCAATAATTTAGCTGTGCAACTCAGTTTTGAAGTGTTAATGGACCGAGCGTGGGCCAAACTCCTGATCATTCTGACTCAAACTGTTAACTCGGCTTTCTTTTGAGATTCGTGATTATCACAAATAGATAAGTTCGTTTCCACATCATTTAAAACTATCATACTCTCCCAAGAAAGTTCAGGGTGCTTATGGGGGTCACAGACTCTTTCACCGCATCCTCGAAGGGACAAACGTAGACACAGCTACTGCGTAGTTTTTTGTATGGCCTTATCCAATCCTCTTCGTCCACTCGGTTCTTCGTTCTGTCTGTATGTTCGCCACGCGACCTGTCGGTCCTGTAATGTGCAATCATGAGTGTGCAGATTCTCCAACTGCGTCTTCTGTGCTGAATCGGTGCCATGCCTCTTGTTCTCCGCAATCCGCTAAGAAACGTTTGGTAGGAACGACAACCACAACTCTACTGTTGCTCGACGGGCGAGATGGCCCAAGTGGTTAGAACGCGAACTTACTGACCGGAAGTTCCGTGGTTCGAGCCCGACCTCTGCCTCTCAACTTCCCCTGTCTATGCTTGGACAATCTGATAGTATCACAGCCCTCGTGCAACCTTCAGATGACATGGCAGCTAGGCACCGAAAGGGTGCTACAGCTGTACGACTTTTTTTCCTGGACGGTATAAGTCCACTACATTTCCAAAGACGAATCAATAAATGCCGTGGATTATCTTTTCGATGGGCAGAGTTTTACCCCACCATCTTCCTACCCCTTCCGGACAACCTGTTGTCTCTGAAACAAGAAAGTAGTATGCCATTTTCCATAATGGTAATGACGTTAGTTGATCGCCAAAGCGCAAACTACTTGGTTCCATTCATTTCCAATTATATCGCGGGCTTCTTTTTTCGGCCGTTTGCCCGGAAACTTTGCATATAAGGTCGCAGGTGACATCCTCCTTCTCTGTTTTGGACTCACATCACTACTTTTACTGCAGTTCACCGCAGTTCAACATCTTCCAGCATGCGCCTTACTCCGTGAACGTGAAAAGTCGTGTTTCAGAACGCGCTTTCTCTGCAATTCGGGAGGCTGTGAAGAATCGGTAGATGAAGTACGAATGTACGAATATCACGTCTGCTGATTGGTCTCACTTGTGGCGTCAAAAGAGCCAATCACTGGGTCTCAAGGATCACGTGTATCAGAATTCAGTATTTTTGTCTCTTTGCGGACATGTCTCAAGCGTTGCGGATGTCGGATAGCTTCAACGAATCCGTAACGAGGTGATTAGGAATCGGATATTTGGTGGTGTAGGCACATCAGAATGCTTGCGATAGGCCAACACCAGATCCCTTTCCTCATCCACCATTTTTTCTTCTTTTCACTCCAAAGCTTTAATTATAATTAGATGAAATGCTTGTTTGTAGGCCAGTGAAGCATCAGTGCCAACACTGGTGTTGCTGTCTCTGACGATGATGGTGAGCACATCGCATGGCTCAATTGCGCACTTATCGGTAGCAAATGTCCTTGTTTGAGCTTAGTTCAAATGGAATTCCAGAGCGAATCACGCCATACAATTTGATACCGCTTCTTTCTTTTTTGTCATGTGACTCACTCTTGAATAACCTGATTCACTAAACATCCGATTTAAAAGTTCCATTTGAATTAATAAGAGATGTTCATTGACTATACGCCATGTCACTTTTCTGCTCTTTGCAGCAGAATCTCCTAATCTTCCTAATCATGAAAAGCCCAAAATTACGCAGTCTCACATAATTGGTTGATCGTATCACGTGACTTTACCCCAGTCCCGGTATTCCATGCACCTGACTTCCATTGAGCTAATTTCAGTATTCCGATTCAATGCAACTAAGAAAAGAAGTCTCCAGCTCGGCAGCTCTGATTCGGAAACCCTTGGTATAGTAATGCTTGGCCAGTCGTCATCGGCATAATTGTTACAGACTTCGACGCACGAATGTTCGAGTCTCATTAGCCGATTTGTCCACATATTATCGGTCTGAAGGTTATCAGCTGATCACAGTTCACAGATGTGGGACGATGAAGGTAATTCACTCACTCTGACCGTTCTTCCAGCTAGAAACTGTTGTATCGCGAGTGGTCGTTTATTGGTTACGCCTACACTGAGCCTATCAGTCTACGCGATAAGAAGACAAAGGACTCGGAACATGGCTGTATTGTCAGGGCAAGACATACAGATCCTCTGCGTGCTAAGCCGTGTTTGGTGAGCTCCACCAACGCACCTGCTTTCCGAACGTGTCGTGTCGATGGTGACCTTGGGGATGCGTCACTCTCTGCACATTTACCTTAGCCATGTCTGGGCTCGTCCTGACATAAACACAATGAACCCAAATGCCAATAGCAGTAGCAGTGAAACTATATATACTACTGAATAATCCTGGAAGTAGTTCAGTGTCCAGGTGCCGCCCCCTTATCTGAGGAACCTGAAGGTTACCATGTAAATTATGAAACTGCTTTGCAATGTTCATTTATAATTGTTTAATATCCGAAGAACGTCCAAGAAAGTTCAAGAGGACGCTTGGGATAGTTCACTTTTCAAAGTCTCTGTCTATATGGGATGTTTACTTTCGTGTCTAATGGCTTAGTTCGTGTTTCCTACCGAGTGGCTTTCCTCTGTTCAAGAGGAAGCCGGTTAGCATCTGCTGATGTCAACCGCGAAAACCTCATGTTCATCTAGGTTCGGAAAGCCTGTATGAGCATCATCTGCGGTGGGCCTTGTGTCACCTGAGGGAACGCAATCGAACAAACTAACAATAAGTGACAAGTGCCTGCACAACTCCCGGTGTTCTGCTACCGTGTTTTGTTTCCCACTGTGTGCAGTTGTACTCACAATTCAGGGAGTGGGTGGTGAATGAGCTTTGTCTCCAAGTTTGGAATGAGCACCCAAAGAGAGTGATTTCTTTTGTTCGCAATTGCTTGGGACGTTTCAAAGCACGGGAAACCAGGAGATCGAACTAGAAATATGCTACTGATGGAGGACGGCTAATTGAGTAGGATTAAAGTGCGTAGCTATCGACCGCAACCCTAACTTCCCGATTGTTCTTACCTAACGGACAGTGCTTCATTAGAGTTGAATGATCTCTGAACGATTGTGTCAACTGATCCGTGCATGCTTGCCGTGGGGAATACAAACGATTAGATGAATCCATGACGGCTGTTCTATTACCCACTGTAATTTCACTGGGTGTCTTGTGGACAACGAAAGCCTGTCCAGCTTGACGAGTAGAAGTTACACAATTGATTTGCTTTTCAGTATCTTTGTTGACCAAGTGACTGGTGTAATTTAGACTTCGGCTTTCGGTGGACGGTGATTTCATCGCCCGACTCTTGTGACGTCCGAATTCACGGATGTATCAGGGTATTATGTGTCCGGTTAAGTCAGCTGAGCATTAGTTTCGATGTGGTGCCTGTAAAGTGTGCGTTCAAACGCGTCTGTTACAGGTCATCTGCACATCAAGTTTAGTACGTGCCCCGAGTGAGGAGACGTTCGGCTGTCATTGCTCCAGCTTGCCGGATGCGTGACCCGTGTACGCCTTTGATACATTACTTCGGCTGACACACATGTGCGTCCCTTGTCCAGTTTCCCTGGTGGCCTCGTGTGTCGTTCACTCAATGATTAGCATGAGCAGGAGATTCTGTCTTGGTTTCAATGAGTTAGGAGTATTTTTCATCTACTGGCAACACTGCACAGAGGATTGGTGTTATCTGATGGTGTTCAAGGGACGTTACATGATTGTCTGGGATAAGCTCTGAGTGAGGCTCTCTCTAGTTCGCCCCCAGAGTGCAACTTGTCCAACCAACGATCTCATAAGGTTGCTGAAAACTCCTCGACTCCCTCCACTCTTCATGGGGCTCACCAGGTAGGCGCAGTCCCCGAGTTTCTGTCAACCTTATGTTCTACTTGAGTATCAGCTGGGTTCCAGGTGAGTCTCTCGAAAAACCAAATTAGTTTGCAAATGGGTGTATGTTCGCTAATTTCGTGCAATTTGGTGAAAAGAAGGATCTAATGTTGACGCAAACTCGGGGGTTTGCGCCTACCTGATGAGCCTCAAAAAGGGCGAAACCGGTCGTGGGCTATCGAGGAGTTTTCAGTAACCTTATGAGTAGTGCATTACAAAAATACATATGTATCGCGATATCGAATATCGTAGCGACTGAAAATGAGGTGGCCTGGTGCAGCACATTCAGTTGCCTGAGAACATCACGAACGAGAGATTCAGCTGGGTTCCAAGCGAGTCTCTCGAAAAACC